TAAAACCCATTTGGGACAAAATTCGATCTAAGGAAAAAAGAGTGCAACGCATGTTTTAAAACCTAACGCCTTCATGTGAAACGATGCCTTCGATATCTTCGATCGAACACCTGCAATGAGTTAGTTTCTAATCCGAATGGACAAGAAAGATACATTCATACCTTAGCAATAGTATCGTTTGAGTAACAATACGTTCCAATTGTTCGGCAGTTGTTCACCTTCCAATGTGCTAAGTTTATAAGATCCTTTACTGACAACTCCGAGGACTCGGTACGATCCTTCCCAATTCGGGCCTAGTTTCCCTTCATTCGGGTCTCGAGTATTGAGGGTGACTTTCTGTAGAACTATGTCCCCGATTCCGAAGTGTCGAAGGTTAGTCCTTCTATTGTAGTATCTTTCGATCCTCTGCTTCTGCGCGGCCATCCGAACAAGCGACGCTTCTCGTTTTTCATCTAATAGCTCGAGGCTGGTGTTCATCGCCTCGTGATTCGACTCTATCGATGCATGTCGAAACCTGGAGCTGGGTTCTCCGACCTCGATAGGGATAAGGGCCTCGTAGCCATATACTAAAGAGAATGGGGTAGCCCCGTTCTAGACTTCGACGTTGTTCGATATGCCTAAAGGACCTCGGGTAGAACTTCTCTCCATTTCCCCTTTGCATCGCCCAACCTTTTCTTCAAGTTTTGAATGATAGTTTTGTTTGTTGACTCGGCCTGTCCATTTACAGTTGGATGGTATGGTGTTGATAGGATCCTCTTTATTTTATGTGCTTCGAGGAACTCCATCACCTTGCTGCCGATGAATTGTTTTCCATTGTCACATACAACCTCGGCAGGTATCCCGAACCGGTATATGATGTGGTCCTAGATGAAGTCAATAACTTCTTTTTCTCTAACCTTTTCGAAGGCCTGTGCTTCCACCCATTTAGAAAAATAATCAGTCATAAACAAAATAAATTTAGCTTTACCTGGGGCTGTTGGTAGAGGGCCGACTATGTCCATCCCCCGTTTCATGAAAGGCCACGGGGATAGCACTGAGTGGAGTTGTTCTCCGGGCTGATGGATCATTGGTGCAAACCGTTGACATTTGTCACATTTTTTGACAAATTCCTTAGTATCTTTTTCCATGTTGTCCCAGTAATATCCGACCCTAATGATTTTGCAAACCAGAGACTCGGCGCCTGAGTGATTCCCACAAGTAACTTCATGGATTTCTCATAGAACATAATCACTGTCCCCTGGCCCTAAACATACCGCCAATGGCCCATCGAACGTTCTTCTGTACAACGTTCCATCTTCATCTAACGCAAACCTAGCAGCCTTGGTTCGTAGGGCCCTCGATTCTTTATGGTCCGATGGGAGTTTTCCATTCTTCAAATAGTCGATATACTTATTCCTCCAGTCCCACATCATACTTGTTGAATTTATCTCGGCATGACCCTTTTCAACCACATACCTCGATAACTAGACGACAGTCCCCGGGACGATGTCATCTTCTTCGAACGAGGATCCTAGAATAGCAAGTGCATCGGCCTCGCTATTTTGTTCTCGAGGTACATGATCCAGAGTCCACTCCTTGAAGCTGTACAAAATTACCTGTAGCTTATCCAAGTACCATTTCATTCTATCCTCTCGAACTTCAAAACTTTTGTTTACTTGGTTCACCACCAATAGTGAATCGCACTTGGCTTCAATGACTTCTGCTCCCGAACCTTTAGCTAGTTCGAGACCCGCAATCATGGCCTCATACTCGACCTCATTATTAGTTAACCTAGAAGTTTTGATAGATTGTCTAATGGTACCACCCGTAGGCGGCTTTAAGACAATGCCGATCCCGGACCCTTTCACATTTGAGGCACCGTCTGTGAAAAGGGTCCATACACCCGATGATGTACCTGAACTTAGCAGGAGTTCTTTCTCCACTTCGGGTACGAGGGTTGGCGAAAATCGGCCACGAAGTCGACCAGGATTTTCGACTTGATGGTCGTTTGGGGTTGATACTCGATATCGTACCCGCTAAGTTCAACGGCCCATTTGGCCAACCGGCCCGATAGCTCAGGCTTATGAAGAATATTTTTAAGGGGGTAAGTTATTAATACACATATGGGATGACAGTGAAAAAATGGTTTCAGCTTCCTAGATACGCTTATCAATGCAAGTGCTAATTTTTCTAGGTGAGGGTATCTAGTTTCTGTATCTCCTAAAGTTCGGCTCACATAATAAACAGGGAATTGCGTACCTTGCTCTTCTCGAACTAACACCACTTACCGCTATCTCGGACACTGCCAAGCATAGGTAAAGTTTTTCATCTACCTCCGGGGTGTGAAGCAAAGGCAGGCTCGATAGATATTGCTTTAATTCTTCCAAGGCTTGCTGACATTCGGGGTCCATGCAAAATCATTTTTCTTTATGAGCAAAGAAAAGAACCGATGACTCTGATCTAACGACCTCGAAATAAACCGACCCAGGGCAGTAATTCGTCCCGTTAGCCTTTGTACGGCCTTCACGCTATCCACGACCGTGATATCCTCGATGGACTTGATCTTATCAGGGTTAATTTCGATACCCCGATTCGACACCGTGAAGCCGAGGAACTTACCCGAGCCAACTCCGAAGGCACATTTCTCCGGGTTAAGCTTCATGTTGTACCTTCTCAAAATTTTGAATATTTCCTGCAAATGAGTCAAATGGTCCTCTGCAAGTAGGGACTTAACCAACATATCATCAATGTAAACTTCCATTATTTTACCTATTTGTTCTTCAAACATTTTGTTGACTAGGCGTTGATATGTAGCTCCCGCATTTTTTAGCCCGAAGGGCATTACTTGTAACAATAAGTTCCAAATTTATTAGTAAACGAAGTCTTTTCCTGGTCCTCCGGGTTCATCTGAATCTGATTGTACCCAGAGTAGGTGTCGAGAAAAGTTAGGATCTCGTGGCCGGCCGTGGAATCGATCATACGATCGATGTTGGGCAGTGGGAAAGAGTCTTTTGGGCATGCTTTGTTGAAGTCCTTATAGTCTACACATATTCTAAGTTTATTTCCTTTTTTAGGAACTACTACTACATTGGCTAACCATTCGGGGTACTTTACCTCCTGATAGACCCTATTTTAAGAAGTTTGATTACCTCGTCCTTTATGAACGCATGTTTCACCTCGGACTGGGCCCTCCTTTTTTTCTTTACCTTTTTGAACCTGGGGTCGATGCTTAGCCGATTTGTGGTGATTTCCGGTGGAATCCCTGTCATATCTAAATGGGACAAGCAAACCAATCCATATTATCAATAAGAAATTGAATGAGTTTTTTCCTGAGTTCGGGGGTTAATCCCGTTCCCAGGTATACCTTTCTCTCGTGCATGTATTCGATCAGTATGACCTGCTCCAGCTCCTCGACAGTTGACTTGGTTGCATCGAACTCTTCGGGAATTACAAAGGTTCGAGGAGTAAGGAAATCTTCTTCTTCATCCTCAATTACCTATTGCTCCGATTTCGTCGAGGCTGGGGACGATGATTGTTATTTAGCCGCCTGCTTAACTTTGGTGCTCGATTTCTCCGAGGTCGAAGGATCTGGTATCGGCACCACCTCCTCGACTGCAAACATCTCCTTTGCGGCATGTTGCTCTCCGTAGACTGTTTTCACTCCCTCTTCTGTTGGGAACTCCATCATCTGGTGAAGAGTCAAGGGCACTGCCCTCATGTTGTGTATCCATGGTCTCCCGAGGAGTGGAATATACTTAATGTCGCCTTCGATGAGATGGAGTATACCGGTCCAACATAATATGCTGAAGTTCATACACAAGTGCACCGAACTCCAGTATATTATGCTGGACCGGTCTCTATTGCAGCAAAATAGTGGCTATTTTTCATTGACTTGATAAACGCTGGCTATTTTTGATTGACCGGTCCGAAAACTGAGTATACCGTGCTATTTTTACTTTAATGCATACTCCATATTTTCTACAACTAACATGTGCTACATCGTTAGTAGGGAGCCGGTAGCCAATTTCAATCAGGGTATCGGAGCTTCGACAAGAGGCCTTTAACTTTTTTCTTTAAAAGAAGACTATATATATATATATATATATATATATATATATGAATAAACATTGTCCTTTAAAAAATATTAATGATATGAGTATACGTAAATAACACATTTTAAGTATAGAATTAGTAAACATTGTGTATGAATAAATTTTGTCCTTTTGGACAATGTGAACAGCCGATAATATGGATGCTAAAATAATTATCCTTTCTTTATTTATTTTATCTTAAATCGGTATGCTTTTTATGAGTTAACCAATAAATTGCATTATTAATGGATTTGGTCCCAAGTCTCTGCCTATATTTTTCTTCAATGGATTTCATACCAGAGAATGTCCTTATCCTTACATCTTAAATAAGCAATAACTTAAACTGAAATAACACTGCTTAAATCATTTTCCTTAACCGGCTTAAATATTTAAAGTAGGTAATTTAAAGTCAATTGCCCGGTGTGTTGTTAGTTGTTACTACGTGAAAGCACTGATGAAAATGCTAATTTTGATACTTAATTGGATCATTAACTTACATCATCAATTGCAGAATGTTATTAATAAGGCTTCCCCTTTTTTTCTTCATCTTAAAACCGTATTATATTAATTAAAAGTAATAATAAGTTAGGATGAGTTGCTGAACAAACAATCTGGAGTCAATACTGAGTCAATAATCATTTATTAACATACGTTAAACATTTTAGTGAGATGATCCTCCGGTGCATTAATCTGATCTCCTAATAAATCACTTATGATTATTCTCTAATAATGAAATTTCTATAATCTCTTCACTCCTAAATGTAATTAATTAAAGTCTCCGTGCCTCGTTCAAACTACTCGAAAAGTCTCGCATTCTCATTCAAATTTCGCTATCCTGATATCAACAGCATATACCTTTGCTATTTCCGCTGTCAGTTTCTTACTCCCAACAATTATGGCTTCGTTATCTCAGCCCATACTCAAAACAAACCTATAGAAATTTTAGTATTCTATATATACCCTTTCTTCTTCCATTTATTTTTTTCAAAATAAACCACTCTTTTTCCCTTCTTCACAACCTCCTCCTCTTCCCTCTTCATCTTCATATCATGGTTTCTCATCAAAATATTTCTCCTTTACTGCTCACTATCTGTGCATTCTTCGTTGTCGCCACTGCTTGCTCTAATGGAACATGCAAGGTAGTATTTATATATGTTGTGTTGTCGATTCAAGATTCAGAGTCAGTGCGCTTAAATATTCATCAATTTTAATTATATATGTTTGAGTTGTCCAAACATCACTTGTACGATTACACTGGGTTGGGTTTGTTAGTGTTGTTGTTGTATATGTCTGAGTTGTGTTCAGGCTGAAAACAATGAGTGCAGTTGCTCAACACTCATATTTAAATTTGATTGAATTAGCCATAAATTTTTTATGTTATTGAATTCATTATGGTTTTGAAATTATAGGTAAAAAACCAAATTTTTAAAAAAGATTTACTGATTTTTCACGCTGTGTAAAAAAAAGTATTGGATTCAGTTAAATGCGCAGATGGAAGTTTGATGACTAATTTTTTTCTCAAATGTGTAATTCAGCTGGACGACAAATGCTCAACGGACGCAGATTGTGAAGCTGGGCTTTTTTGTTTTTCTTGTACTGTATCTTTTTCAGGAAACAGATGTGTTAGATCTACCGGCACAAACCCATTTAAGCTAGTGGTACGTATGTAAATAACATTTGGGCTTTTAGATTGGGCTTATGTTGGATACATTTAAACTGGGTTAGTGAATTATAGTGGGCTTTTTAATTGGGCTGATATTTTGTTTTGTATGGGCTTACAGAATAATTCTCTACCATTCAACAAGTATGCATTTCTGACGACCCATAATGCTTTTGCCATTGAGGGAGAGCCATCACACACTGGGATCCCCAGAATAACCCCTACCAATCAAGAGGATACTGTTACTCAACAGCTCAATGTATGTTATTTTCTCTAATCTCAGAATTGATTAATTGTGTGAACCACGTCATTTAAAGTGAATTTTATTTATTTACTTAATTATATCTTTTATCGTGTTAACCTACTAGAATGGTGTTCGGGGTTTAATGCTTGATACCTATGATTTCGACGGAGATATATGGTTGTGCCACTCATTTGGAGGCAATTGTCACGACTATACGGCATTTGTATGTTCTAATTCCATTTCGCGACACTTTCTTTTTCTTCATATTTACATCAATTGATTAAATTAATAAAAAATCGATGATATTTGGTCTTGTAGGAACCAGCAATAGACACATTGAAGGAAATTGAGGCATTCTTATCAGCAAATCCATCAGAAATTGTGACATTGATCTTAGAAGATTATGTAGAGACACCAAAAGGTTTGACCAAAGTGTTCACAGATGCAGGACTAATGAAATATTGGTTTCCAGTGTCAAAAATGCCCAAAGGTGGTCAAAACTGGCCCCTTGTTAGTGACATGGTGGCTAATAACCAAAGACTAATTGTTTTTACCTCCAAAAAGTCCAAAGAAGAGAGTGAAGGAATAGCTTACCAATGGAATTACATGGTCGAAAATCAATGTAAGACGTCCAATCACTTATACACTACACTGTCGATATATAAAACTTAAACTCTTCATATAAAATATCGCGTAATTTTTTTTGTATGTGGCAGATGGGGATGGAGGAATGAAAAAAGGAAGTTGTCCGAATCGGGCAGAGTCATCGAAAATGGATGATACAAGTAAATCTTTGGTGTTGGTAAATTACTTTAGGTCAGTGCCATTGAAGCCATTGGCTTGTGTTCAGAATTCAGGGGAACTTCTTGACATGCTTACGACTTGTCACAATGCTGCGGCTAATCGCTGGGCTAATTTCATCGCCGTTGATTATTACAAGGTTATTTTTTAACTAGAAATATGCAGGTTTTTCACTACTTAATTAGTTTTAATTTCAAAGGCTATGAAACTGATTTTATTTAAATTCTTCTTTGGGATGAATTATGTAGAGAAGTGAAGGAGGAGGTGCATTTTTAGCTACAGATACTCTTAATGGGCAGCTCTTGTGCCAGTGTAGTGATGTACATTCCTGTTCGGTATGTAATATACTGAAAAACGAAATAATTGTTTCTAATTTTGCATATATGCAATATCTAATTTTTTTTTTCTTTCTAAAAATGCAATTTGGATAATTACTCTTTATCGTGAAATATTTGAGTATTTGACCGATGCCAATTCTTGAATGTTGCAGACGGGATCTACTACCCCTGGAGCCTGCAGTTCTCGATCATGACAAGGAAAAATTGATATTAAAAGAATAGATTACAGTACTTTTTTATTTTGATTTTTTCCTTGTTTGGAAATCTCTAAAATGAGAAGAAAACATTTGAATATGTGTTTTGCACCTTAGAAAAGAAATATAAAAGGTAAAAGATGGTACTATGTTTTTTCTGTCTCCCTATTAGTATTTGATCTATGAAAAAGGTGCAATTCTTCTACTTCATTAGTTAACCATTCGGTTTCAATATTTTTACCATCCCAATTCATACAACACTTTTTCTATTTCGATACAAACCAAAATAGTTGACATTTTTCATTAGTATCATCTCTTTATAAATTTCCGTTCTTCTAAAGATTTTGTCCATTTTAATTTTTGAAACTTTAAATTATAATGTTATATTTCTCTTATCGAACTAAAATCTCAATTATTAGTTTAGTTCTACTAACACTTTGTCAAGTCAAATGGGTGGAATTACCCGGTCAAATTCATTATTTACTTTTCTTAGCTAGTACTCCCTCCGTTTCAAATTAAATGAGGCAGTTTGACTCGGCACGGATTTTAAGGAAAAAAAAAAGACTTTTGAAATTTGTGGTCTTAAAAGATTAAGGGGTAAAGCTTTGTGGCGCCATGACTTTTGTGTGATTATAAAAGCTTCTCATTAAGGGTAAAATGGGTAAAATGAGGAGTTTAAAGTTGAATTATTTCCAAATATAGAAATGTATCATTTATTTTGGAACAGACTAAAAAGAAAAGTACCTCATTTAATATGAAACGGAGGGAGTATATATGAATTATAAACTGATTATACACACATCGTATGTCTATCAATTATTTTTAAGTTTAAACGGTTGGTCAAAATCACACCATTCATTTCAAATAGGATTTGTCCCTTCGCGTAAATTTTCAATGTGGTCGGTTCTTTCTTTTGAAAAGACTACCAAATCGTCCACGTAAGGCTTGCATATGTTATGTAGGAGGAAATAGGAATAATCGAACCACGTCTACAAAATGCTAGTACCATGCAGCTGCTTTAAAGCCAACGTGATGCTCCTTGGTCAGATGACCAAGATATCGGCGAATACCACATATGATCGAAAAAATAGTACCTATAATCACACATCAGATTTTCGAGAAAGAAGAAATAAGAATTGCTTTTAACTTCCTATCGGCTCTCTTTTCTGTTCTAGGTCCTTTCCTCACTGAGGACCATGGGCCAATAACTTCAGATATAAAGCATGGCCATCTTAGTTAACTCTTCCAAAAACAAAACAATAAAAGAGATTGAAAAGAAATAGAAGCAATTTTGGCACTGCAGCATGTGCACTCAATACAAGACTCATGGCTGGGCCGCTTTAGGATTGGGCTATTGATAATCATTTTATAAATCAAATATTACTTAATTGATCTCTGTCAATGCGAATGATCTGGTTTGGGATCCAAAATATAAAATTCCTGATTATAATTACTCAATCTCAGATTCTCAATTATCATACCATAATACTATGATTCAACAACGTTCTGTACAGCACGAACATTAATATTGATAATAATTTATTTGTTATTAACAAATTCTGTTAACTTGAAACTCGTCATAAAGAGCTGTAAAAGCTGAGAATTGCTATATAAAAAAAAAAAAGTGGAACTAATTAAACAATTATGCTCTTTGTGCATGAAAAACTAAGTGTTCAATTAGATAGCAACACGTACAACTGGCACGAAATACTCTATAATATCATTGAAGATTACAAACACTAACTTTTTTATAATGTCAAGATATGACGCACACTGTTTTGTGTGAACTATGGGGTACAGGATGCAGCATTTTAGTTTCAGAATTGTGTATTTTATATATATTTTTACTAATAAAGAAGCATTTACAATTTTTAGATTACAAATTGAAATATTGGTTGGTGAACAACCCAATGATGTCTTGCCTTTGCTACAAGGAACTAGTGAAATGCAGGTGTTCGTATGTCCTTGATGTCCTCAATAATATAGTTCTCTTTTTTTGTGGATCCTCAAATTATTTTTTTATTAATTTATTTACTGTAGTATTGTTATTAGTATTTGTCATTATTATTGTTATTACTTATTTGCTTCTCTGCTTATCCTACAATATAAGTATGATATTATTACCATTACTATTTAGAAGTCAATTCAAGGATATTGAAATATTTTTGAATGTTTTAATTATAAGAAATTGTGGTTTATAGTACTTTTTAATACATTTTAAAACACAAAAATATATTTTCGAAAAATATTAAAATTTAATATTGAGAATCCGCACGGAAAAATAGATGCATTAACTCTAGTATGCTCAAAAGTAACACTTTTATATTGAAGTGTTGAGTTTTTAAATCCAATACTTTTATCTCTCGTCCAGATCACATGCCAACTACATAGAGATGGAAAATTATGTTTTGATAATGAGTGCCGACGACAAAGCTCTATTATATTCTACTTTCATTCTACCAGAAATAATAACGAAACAAAAAGGATGTGTGATTCGCGAATAGAATAGGTTAGGATTTGATACTGTGGAATTGTAGTGGGATAATATATATGAATTAATATTTAATTGTGGGATATTCTTATAAGAAAATTACAACAACTAATAATAGTAGATATCGTGTATGTTTTTCACGTATTCATAAATTAAGTTGATTATAAATTGTTGCGCAATCAGTAACTATAATCAAAATTAATAGGCTTGGAATGGGTGTGCAATTATAGAAGATGTTATTACACTATGAGTCACACATTTTGTGTTACACTAATAAAACGTACAACCCCGTTACCCGAAATTACAAATTTGTCCACTCGGCCAAAAATATTTATATCTACTAGCCAATATATAAAGATCATATATATATATATATATATATATATCCCTTGGACATTCACTAATTCAATTAAGAGGGTCATTTATTTATTTTGAATACGTATATAAAAGACAAAAGCTTGACGATTAAAGCTAAAAATTGAATGGACCAAACTTTTTTTTTTTTTTT